TTTTTTGGCAAACTCTTTATTTAATGGGTTTACCATTAAAATTAAAACAGGGAAGAAATAGCATATTGTGTGATTACTCTTTTAAACAAAAATTGTAATAATTGTTGTAGTAGTCAGGGGTTAAAGCAAAAAAAAAATCTTTTGACTGAATTTTTCCTCGGCCAAACCTGTCACACACCCAGTTTAAGAGCGGTGTTTTTCTTCTTGTAATCAAGAGCACTTGTCCTCCTAATTAAAAAAAATTAAGGAGCACCTTCTGATCAATAATCAAAAATTCTGATAAAAAATTAGCCTTCCTAATATGAGGTGAAGTGATTTACAGGGACATTTTCTTTTTACCGTTTTGCAACTTCAGTGCAACGTTAGTGGATTGGGATCTATTGCAACTTAAGCAACATCTGCTGCTGCCTTACCTTTGAGAGACAACTGATGTGTGATTACTGAAGCAGCTCCAATTAGCAAGCGCTTTTGGAGTGAGAGTGAATTCCGCATTGATTGGTCAGACTCATGACTCCCAACAAATCAGATGAGCAGTGGGCGGAGACTGCTTTAGGCCACAGAGTGGTGAGTTCTGACAGGCTGCATCAGAGCCAAATAGCGCGTTTCAAAATTAAGTTATTTTATCGGTGAATCGGTTTTGAAAATGACCGATACCGATAATCATAAAAATGCTTAATATCTGCGCCGATTATCAGCCAGGCCGATAATCGGTCGACCCCTATTGTAGTCTACTCTTCCAGGAAACAGTCCTCCATAAAATGTGCTGCACACATCTGAATATTTGGGTTGAAGTGTTCTGGAACAGTGTTGTAAATACAACTTAACCACTGATTTCTAGTCGTGTCCTATTTTGGAAGGCCAAACAAAGTATTTTCACTTTCTCAACGAAACACACAGCGTTTTCACAACATGGCGGCACCGGCGGCAACAACAATGAAGTTATGCCTTCTTTCTTTGCATGAACATTTGGCGGCGTTATGCAAATCTTCCCACATCGTGACGTAAACATATGGGGGCGTGTTTAAACGAGGCATTTTAGGAGGGCGTGGACAAGTCTTAACTTTGATAAAGAATATCTCTTTGGGTTTGAGACTTTAGTCTTTGCAACTTTAGGGATCTTATCTATTCACGAACAGCTTGTAACACTCCAAAGAGAAAGAAAAACTTGAAATCGCATCATATGACCCCTTTAACAAAAAGGATTCAAACCTACAACCTTTGGTTTCCAACCCACTAAGCCATTTCACCACAAAGCTGTTATTTTTTATACAAACTAACAATTTTTGGCAGGGCAGAATCATGGTACAATGAGGCAAAAGGATCCTGAGATTTTTAGGGCCCCTGGCAGTGGCCCTCAATCCATTCTTGTCACTTTTAACCCACAATAACCAAATTTGTAGTCTTTTTAGACTTTAGATGGGGAAAACAAGCTATTCATGTGTCTAATTTCGTATGTCAGTGATCACACATGACCCTGCTCCACACAGTGGCCATTAGAGACACTGCAACCTGTTTTTGTCCTGATGCATTAACATATTAAATATATTTAACAGCCTCATGAAGCAGAAATGGTCTCAGATATCAGTTTAAATTAAACTTATGGCACAACATAATGGCTACTCGCCATTTCTCTGTAGTAAATGAAAAGCCCACCATTCTGCATTTGGTTTTTACCAAAACAGCTTTTATGGAGAAGGAAAATTAAATGTTTGTGGCCTAAATTTCACAAACAAAATTAAAGAACTGCAGTGTAAGTATATATATTTCTGAGTTGTGATACTAGACTTTTTTTGAAAAATGTTCCACACTGTAAAAAAATGACCAATATGTTATGTGTTTTTATATTACTTTAACTCATCAAAATAAGTTAAGCAATTTTCAGCTTTAAATTGTAAGTTGTACAAGATTCAACTCTTTTTTAAGTCAGTTTAATGTAATGTAAGTTTGATTGACTTACAAATTGTACAATGAACAAATTTAAAGGGGTCATATGATGCTTTTTTAAAGATCATTATTTTGTGTATTTGGTGTAACAGAATATGTTGACATGCTTTAATGTTCAAAAAACACATTATTTTTCAAATACTGTACATTATTGTAGGTCCTCTATGCCCCGCCTCTCTCAAACGCTTCGTTTTCTACAAAGTCCCTCCTTCCGACAAGCGCAGTCTGCTCTGATTGGCCAGCTGACCCAGTGCATTGCGATTGGCCGAACACCACAAGCACTCGTCGGAAATGTAACGCCCCTTACCATAATCACGAGCTTCATCTTTCAAAATAAATGAAAAGACCCCTTTAAGACAGCAACTTCTTTTTTTTATTTATTTATTTTTTGTCTACACATTGAAAGTCGGTGGGGCCCAAAACAACATTGGACCCCAATTACTTTTTTCAAAAATTGCTAATGATGTGAGGGTGATTACAATATTCACATTTTAAACTCTCCCTCTTAAAATTCCCTGTTTTCATCGTTTTGGATATTTTCCAAATTTATATTTTCCATGCCATTTTATTGAGTTCATCCAAAAATGAAAATTCTGTCATTATTCACTCACTCTCAAGCTGTTCCATTTTCTTCTTCTTCTGCTGAACACAAAAAAGAATTGGAAACACAACAGTTGATGGTCCCCATTGACTTCCACAGTATTTTTCCCATACTATGGAAGCCAATGGGGACCATCAACTATTTGTTTACCAACTTTCTTCAAAATATCTTCTTTTATGTCCCCAAAAAAGAAAGCCACTCATACAGGTTTGTAACAGCTTAAGGGGGGAGTAACTGATGACAGAATTGTCATTTTTGGGTGAACTATCACTTTTATTTTGAAATACCTGTAACACGTAGTCCAGGGCGAGGTGTCGGAAGCACTTCCGGGTGGTGATGAGGGTGCTGGTGGCCTCCTCCACCTCATGCGGTTTGCTGCGTGGTGCCTGTGCGTTCTTCACCTGGGCGATCTCCATATCCTCCCGCACCTTATCAAACTGCTTCTTCGTCTCTTTAAACTTCCGAACATCCCTGCGTATTGACACATAAAGAGACATGCTGCAGGGTATATATGACAGAGGGCAGGAAAAGGGTTAAAAACAGAAACAAGGTCAGGAGAAAGAATAAAGGACTCACTCCTTCACAAAATTATGCAACTGTTGCTTTACGGATCTCTGTGCCTGGTCGAACAGGATCTGTAAAAGATACAAAAGGAAAGCAAATGTATCTGTGTCAAACAGAAGAATATTGAGTGGGTAGAATGGTATTTTGTATAAAGCAGGGGGCAGTGGAAAGAGCCCTGACTTGTCACAGATGTTTTCTAATTGGGTAGGTATGATGTAGTGCACCGGTTCTTCATCCTGGTCCTCACGACCCCCCCCCCCACTCTGCACATTTTGTATGTTTCTCTTATTGCTTTAGAGGTTTCTTCCATTCAACCGTAAGTGCCCTGCGAAGTGGACATCACAGTGAACACTGTGTAGGGACCATGTCAATCAGAACACAGTTCATTAATGGAGCTCTCTTTTAATGAGCTGGTGATTTGAATCAGGTGTGTTAAACGGGAGACAGGATTAAGAACCCCTGATGTAGTTGTGTGTCTTTGTGAACGAACCTTTTAAGTGGACAAATTCTTCTTGTTCATTTCGACACTTCATTGGTCAACAAATTGGACAATCATTCATGTGATTTAATCTTGTTCACGGTTCAGTTTTGTGAACAATTCAATGACTCTAAAACTTATAATACTAAAAGACACTCACTTGTCGCCACCTACTGGCATAACAATGTAATATTTTAGTTTATTTTTTTAAAGAAATTAATACTTTTATTCAGCAATGACATGATGAAGCTGTTCTTTTGAACATTCAATTCAAATAATTATTTTTAAATGTGCAGTTTACACAAAAAATTGGAAGCAGTGCAACTGTTTTCAACATTGATAATAGTAAATGTTTTAGCATATTAGAATGATTTCTGAAGGATCATGTGACACTGAAGACTGGAATAATGATACTGAAAATTCAGCTTTGCATCACAGGAATTGATTGCATTTCAAAGTTTATTAAAATATATTAAAACATTTTAAATTGTAATAATATTTCACAATATTAATATTTTGATCAAATAATGCAGATTTTGTGAGCAAAAATCAATAGTTATTAATTAGTGTCATTACTATATTACAGTCCAGCGCACTACAGAGACTGCTAGAGCAATCCTTCACATATATGTATTGAAAACAAACAATTAGACCTAAATGTAAAGTAGTGTAAAAACTATGCTCAATTAGGACCAAAATCTAAAATTATGCCTACATTTCTGTGCATGAAATGCAGTTTTTAGTTAGTAGCAATAGCCAGCCAAAGGCTTTGAAAACCATTCTGGCTGTAGGCTAGTTGAATACTAAGGGTGCACTTCTCTGAAATCACCAGCAGATGGCAAAGCAGATGCAGCTCTGTTCCTGTAAACCCAAAAGACTGCACCAGAGCCCCACACCCATCTCTCACCCTCTCACAGTTGGTCACGGTGGGCGACTGCAGGTCAAGGGTTAAATAGGTCACAGATGCATTGCACAGGATGGATGCTGGCAGACAGTGGCATCTTCCAGGACACGACAGGCAAACACAGCGTCATGCATGAGAATACAATCTGCACATGCTCATGCAGTCAAGCCCTGGGGGTCTTGCAAGTAAGGTCACAAGAATGAAGGCGTGTCAGTGCCAGGGTCACTGTGGATCATACATGATGTCAGCAGAACGAAACTAGAGGAAAAGCTTTACGCTGCAATCATCTCAATTCTGGTCACAGACGCAGCAGCTTTATGGCAGCGATAAGCTGCAACGAGAGCACATGTGACAGAGCATGTCACATGGAACAGGAGGGCAACATGTCTTGAGGGTAAAGCTGGCATGCGAGGGAGGAAGAGAGAGAGGGAGTACAGGGAAAAGCAGAAGCAGAAAAGCTTAGAGATTTGCATTTTGCTCAGTTCCATCAATTCCCAGCCTTTGCATTTTGCAAAGGACTAGACTAGAATCAGCGTTTTCCATCCATCCACCTCAAATGTCCCAATTCTCTCATCAGTGATGTTTGCTAAGTCAAGCATCATTATTACTGCTGCTCAGACTTAAAGATATGAACATTCCCTGAACCCTTATGCCTAAAGTATACCCCAGTTTTCACATTTACACAAAATTTCAGCATAGTATAAACCAGATTTTTCTCTCTACAGATTTATGCTCAGCTCACACTAATTAGTTTGTCCATAAGGTGGCAACACTAACCCAACAGTAACAACTCGACACTATAGACTGTAAAAAAAAAAAAAAAAAAAATGGACGATGCATCTCCACTTCCTTCCATCGTAGTAATGATGTCATTAGGAGGCGGAGTCTGCACAGTCGTGATTATGACATGGAGCCGCGGTATCAAGGTCACGCCCATATTCCTGCAAACCAGTGGCGGCTCGTCGGGGGAGCCAGGGGAGGCACAGCTTCCCCAAAATTTTGAGGTGAAAATGGGAGGAAGACGATTTAATGTTAATAAAATTCACAATTAATTTCAGTTCATATCTCAGCGCGTGTATTTTTTGTTTGTAATTTCACAGCTGTAATACCATAACATGTTACTGAAGTTGGAAAGCGCCGCTTTTCTATCGCGAATGTGCCGAATCTGCTGATGTAATTACAACCGCTAATGATAGAGAAGGGGAGGGGGAGGCCGGGGGAGAGCGGAGCTCTCGTGCCTCCGTTGGTAAAAAAAAAATTAGCCAATCAGCATCGAGTGTTCACTTTCAGCGCTGAGGAGTGTTGAGAAAAGAAACCTCGTAGGGGAGGCTAGCCTCCCTTCTGGTATACCAACCAATCACCATAGAGACGTAAATTACGTGATATTAGTTTGAACGTCTCCCGCTGTGCTGATAATGTACCAAGTACTTACGAGTAGCGATATTGAATATTTGATCGCCAACAGATTTACCAAGCTGGGAAAACAAGCCCTATTTAAAATTAAAGGCAACCATTGCATTGTAATCACGATCCAAAAAAAAATATATATAAAGATATATATATATTTTCGAAATTTCAAGCAAAAACAGAGTGGTCTGATTTTAGCTCTGCGAAATTATGCTACATAAAACATCTGAATGAAACAAAAACAGCAGGTGTGCTGTATTAAAACGGAAATTCACTCTCTGCCAGCAGGTGGCGCTTCTGGAACAGCAGCAATACTGCATTTCCTTAGGGTGCGTTTTCACACTAGCACTTTTGGTGCGCACCCGGGTTTGAGTGACGTCAGAGTTCGGTTCGTTTGGATGATGTGAATGCTGTCTTCCGAACTCGGGTGCGCACCCGCGAACCGTACCCCAGTCCGCTTAAGAAGGGTGGTCTGGGGTACGGTTCAAGTGAACTCCGGTATGGTTCGCTGCTGATGTGAACGCAATCGTACCAAATCACGGAAGTGAACCGCTATTAATGACGTATTATTTGTCTCACGATTGTTTGAACAAAATGAGATTTAAGAAACTATAAATTAAAAGGTGTCCTTTTTTTGTTTCAAAATGCTGCAAAATGCGGCCTATGTCAAATAACAAATAAATAAAACTAATGAAAGAAATCTCTCTGAAATCTCATACTAAGACTTTGCCTGTGCTCTTTCTATTTAAAATTAAAGGCAACCATTGCATTGTAATCACGATCCAAAAAAAAATATATATAAAGATATATATATATTTTCGAAATTTCAAGCAAAAACAGAGTGGTCTGATTTTAGCTCTGCGAAATTATGCTACATAAAACATCTGAATGAAACAAAAACAGCAGGTGTGCTGTATTAAAACGGAAATTCACTCTCTGCCAGCAGGTGGCGCTTCTGGAACAGCAGCAATACTGCATTTCCTTAGGGTGCGTTTTCACACTAGCACTTTTGGTGCGCACCCGGGTTTGAGTGACGTCAGAGTTCGGTTCGTTTGGATGATGTGAATGCTGTCTTCCGAACTCGGGTGCGCACCCGCGAACCGTACTCCAGTCCGCTTAAGAAGGGTGGTCTGGGGTACGGTTCAAGTGAACTCCGGTATGGTTCGCTGCTGATGTGAACGCAATCGTGCCAAATCACGGAAGTGAACCGCTATTAATGACGTATTATTTATTAAAAATGTGTGTTTGTGTGTGTTTCACTCACTTTCTTGATGAGCGTGACTGACGCTCTGCAAGCAGAGAGCTGTATATCTCATTTCTGTTCACCTTCAGAGTACTATAGATCATTTGCAGTACATTCGTAAGACAGACGTAAGTGCCGTTATGTACTGAAGCTTTGGAAACAAAACCAACGGTTCAAAAACAAATATAAAATTGAAGAGAGCCTTGCTACGCATTTTGCCGTCTTCTCCTGCGCCATCGTTACTAAGCAACGGGGTAAACCGCTGCTGGCTTGACGACGCAAACGAACCACAGTTCGGACCCAAATAATATAATGTGAACACTGTCCAGCGGGGGCAGGGGGAGGGGGGAGCAATCAAACTCTGGTTCGGACCAAGCAATCGAACCAAGTGTGAAAGCACCCTTAGTTACCGCTGTAAACACAGCAGCACTGCACTACTTTAATATGTATTATATGGAGGACACCATCTAAACTTTTCTGAAGGCAGTCAGTTCCCCTCAGAGATACATTCATATAAACCCTCAGCCCCAAATGTATTGCTATTCATTTAATGAATGAATGAAATTTAATCTCAGTCGACTTGAATCGTCACATATATTTATCAATTTTCAACTGGCTCGGGGTGCATTGTTACGTCCCAAATCAAATAACTACAACCAAACTTATTTGCAAAACAAACACTTGAACATACATCAGATTTAGATTTTAGGTCATATCGTCCCGCCCTACGAGGAGGAACAAATACTAGTGGACTATATTAGTGGACTAATGTGGGGAATAGTGAATAAGGGTATGGGGGTGATTTTGAACATGGCACAAGTGCACGCAACGTAAAGTTTAGTGAGTAGACGTCCTATGTAATAAACTTCAGCAACACTAGTTTTTTGTTCCTGGTTGGCATTAAAATAGGCAACCCCCCCCCACAAAACAAATCTCTTTTTAAACCACACAACAGTCTAAGAAAGACATCAAGAGTCTGAGGATGACTGACTGTCGGCGACTCAGAGAGAGACTGAGGAAGATCTGAATGAGCCGACTG